TACCCGCCAGTGTTGGGCTCACTTTGCTGGAAGATTCTGGTTTGTGAACGTCTGCTTCCAGGGCCTCCATCAGGCCACCTCTCTCCAGCTAAGCGTCTTTTTCGAGGTCCGGCGCTTTTAAACAAGCGGGACTGAGAGGTCAATTTCAGCTGTGCCACCTGTCCCCCTTCTGATTGTGCTGGATCACAAACGCGCCAGTACTTAAGGAGCGACCGCGTGTTTGTTAATCGTTTACACCTTGGTACGCGGTCTGGATTCCGTGGGATTCTAAGGCCGGAACGCCTCAGAACTTGACATACACAGCCGAGCTAGCAAGACGGCAGACTTTGAAAAACTTGTGCTCCTCCCAGTGCCAGCTCCTGGTACTCAGTAGGCGTTCCGATGGCTAACCTGCAATCTGAAACCAGAAGTTGGATGTTCACAATCTTAACCACCATCACCCCTCCCCTGGAAATATCGGTATTGCCCAGGCTTTGCGCTTTTGTATATGCAAAAAAAAAAAATCTTACTTTTGTGCAAGAGAGTGGATTTCTTCCCGTTTTGGAAGTCACTGAAAATGTTAGTCCTTAGCAGTCGAGGTTTATAATCCCTGGCAGGTACTAAATCACCCGCCGAGACATACCCTGGGACAGGGTATGGCCCGGGGTGCTGGGTCACCCGGGGCTGGCTGCTGCGCACTCTGGCAAGGTTGGGACCTCCCTGAGAAGGGGGGCAGCTGGGACCGCGGGAAGACCTGCGGCGCGCAGTCAACTCCGGGACACACAGGGGCGCTCTCCTGATGGGCTAGTATACTGCAAGTTTTAAAGTGTCCCACAAATGCCGCTGTTCGACGCGTTCTAATTAGGTTGGGAGACTGAGGTGTTTAGCATACTTGAAATTCACTCACACGCTTATGAAGAGGCTTTAAATTGTATACTGCTCCTTCATCCCTTTCTTCAGTTGGGGAAAAAAAATTAAAATAGGGAGAAGGTCCAGGGATACTTGAAAGACTTGGGACTGGCCTCAGGGGCTGAGATCTGTTGGGTCTTATTGTCATTTTCCGTGCCATTTGTACAGGCGGAAAGCCCGCCTTCTGTTTATCAACAGACGTTAATGAAACTGAGTATTTTAATTTCAGTCACAGAGTTTAAAAAAGAATAAACTATCTCCTCACGGACACCACGGCTATTAATAAATGTTTAAAATGTGAGTTGCTCCGCTCCACAGAATTCTATAGGTGCTCATATTTAATCCCTTTTCTTCTTAGTTACTGCTTGGCACTCAAGGTCTACAAACATCCTAGGCTTGGAATTAGTGGAGGGTGAAAACTATGCCACAGGCATCAGAAAAGGGAACCCTGAGTGGAAAGTATGGACAGCGTGCCAGCATGCCAAGGGGGGCCCCTGCCCTTTTGTGTTGTGTGTGTTGCTGGGATGGACAAGTGTTGGCTAATAATAAAAATTATTTTGAAGCTGGAGAATGTAAACCACTCACGCTGGAATTTTGCCAGAATACTCGTGTTCTTACACTTGGTTCTAACTAGAACGCTATCATCCATTGCTCGGTCAACCTCGATTCTTAATCAACAATAAAAATCTGACTTTTGCTTGAAGATCCCAAGTAATAGCAGTGGTAATGGAAGAAAACGTTGGCTGGGTGTGGCTCAGACCTTTAAATCCAGCACTCTGGGGGATTCTGAGTTTGAGGACAACCTGGTCAGTCTGTCCCAAAACAAAACCAAAATAAAAACAAAAAGAAAGTGTATATCTTTCTGCGTTATTTTAATTTTGCCTTTCCTCATATATTACTTTAAAGATTATTTTAAAATGTCCTGGCTGGGGCTAGAGCAACGGCTCAGCAGCTAAGAACATTGTTCTTCTCCCCCGCCACCCCCATCAACACCTGAGGCCGATGGGAGAGCAGTCCCCATTACTCATCTGTCATGTGGCGGCATGTGGGGGCAGGATATCACCCCCCCCTCAGGTGGGAGACCTGGCCCTGAGGTCATAAGAGCAGGAGAAGCTGTTCCTGCCCCTCTTCAGCCTGCAGCAGGTAAGTGGCCCAACACCTCCACTGGGCAACACAGTAGAGCTGGCCCTGAAGGTGTGTGTGTGGGAGAGCTGACCCTGAGGACTAGAAAGCCTAAGAACTGGTGCCGTTCCTCACTTATCTATGGTAGAGGTGAACTAGCCAAGGCAATGCTGGAAAACTCACCCAGGTGGGGAAGACAGAAGAGAGGTGGCTGGCTGACCAACCCTGCAACTACCCAAGCCCGGAACCAGGGTTAAGTGTTAGCCCATCCCAACATCCACCCCGTCTGTGATCTGCGGGAGCACTGGTGGTGGGGATGGAGGTGGTCCTGCTAACCCAGGGCTACAGGATCTCGATGACACAGGGCAGGAATGGGATGTCCAGGAAGAGTCCCAGAATCCCAGTGAGGGCCCAGTGTCAATAGCATAGCAGAGACCAGGGGCCTCGAACCAAACCAATGAGTCTTTGTGATGTAAAGATGTATGCACAAAGGGATTTACTTCATGACTTACTGTGTCACACCACAGCTTCCATGATGAGATGTTCTCTTTCTATCTATCTTAAATTTTATTTTATTTTATTTTATTGGTGGGGGGAGGTCGCAGGAGCAGAGGGCAGGCAGATAGGTGGCATTGGGATGCATAATGTGAAAGACACAAAGAATAAATAAAAAAGTTAAAAATAAAAAAGCATTGTCTGTTCTTGCAAAGGACATGGGTTCAGTCCCAGTACCCACATAGTGGCTCACAACTGACTGTAACTCCAGTTCCAGGAGATCTGATGCCCTCTTCTGACCTCCATGGGTACCAGGCATGCACAAGGTGCACATGCAGACAAAACACACATACCAGCAAAATAAATCTACAACAGAATCGTTTTTTTTTTAAATTATGCTGAGTATTTAACATATTGTAGGAAGGTCACTAAATAATATGTTTTACCTCATTTAATACTTGGAGTTATTAGATAAAGAAACTGGCATCAAAATAACCCACTGGATATATTAGTCAATCCACAAAGAGGTAGAAATCAATATTTTTATACTTCATGATTATTAGTTAATAATATGTACAATTATAAATGGCTAAGAATAGATTGTGTTCTTACCACACATACAGGCATTCTCAAGCACACACACACACACACACACACACACACACACACACACTAAGCATATGAGCTGGAAAAGTAGCTCAGTTGGTTGCCTAGCAAGCACAAAGACATAGGTTCAATCTCCAATACCACCTAAAACTACTGCTCATGCCTATAATCCCAGGACTCAGAGGAGGAGCCAGGAAAACCAAATGTTCAAGGTCATCCATCTTTGCCTGCTATCAAGTTAGAGGCCCTCTTGGGATATATGAAACCTTGTCTTAAAAATTTAAAAAAAAGATAAGCATGTATCACATATGCTAAAATTACTTGATTTAACCATCCCAGAAGTTATAGATATATTCAAACAGCATGTTTTAGTCATAAATATATACAATTTGTATTTATCAAATTAATGAGTTACTTTAGGGTTTAGAGATTTCTCAGACTTAAAGTATCTGCCCTGCAAGCATAGGACTTGAGTTCAGATCTCCCGCATCCACTAAAAGCTGGGTGTGGAAAACGCCTATAATCCTTGTGCTAACTAAGGATTCCATGGACTTCTTGACCTACCAGCCTTGCCATATTGTTGAGCCCCAGCTTCTGTAAGCGACCCAGTCTCAAAAGTAAGGTCGAGAACAGTAGAAGCAAACACTCAGCACTAGACTCTGGCCTCCAAACGTGCAGGCATACAGGAGTATAAACCCACACACATGAAAGTGTACAGACAAATGCATAATTTAATTAAAACTTAATTTTTAAAATTACTTTTAAAATGCAAAATTATCTTCTGAGTTTCCATTTATTACACAAAGAACTAGAACAGATGTTTTCAAAAAGTTCCAATTGTGTGTATGTTGGCACTGGGGATTGAACTCAGTATTGCACACCATAAGAAAGTTCTCTATCACTGATAAATACTCTACCAGCCCATACACATATTTTCAATTTAATCTTATTGTTAATACTGTAGGTGTGTGTCCTGGTGCAATTATGCCATGGCACTTATGTGGCAATCAGATCCTGGGTTCCCAGGATCAAACTCAGGTTAGCAGGTTTGTACCAAAAACTCTTTTGCCAGCTGAGCCATCTTATCAGTCCAAAGACACAATGCTGTTGTTTTTTATATTTTGTTTTTATTCTTATGTTTTTTGAAACAGAGTCCCATTGTATATCCCTTGCTGATCTGGAACTTGGTTTGTCGACCAGGCTGACCTCAAAATCACAGAGATCCACCTGCCTCTGCCTCTGAAGTGCTGGGTTTAAAGGCGTGTGCCAACATTCTCACCTCCAAAATAAAAATTTTAAGCACTTGGGGCTCTACCAACTATCCCTCCATAAAGTCACTTAAACAAACATCACATTTCTGATAACTGCCATATTAAACATATTTCTACAGAGTCAAATTCATGAAATTC